TCTCTTATCTTATTTTAAAATTTGATATTTAATTTATAAAAATATATATTTATAGCGATAAATCCGAAATGGTAAACGACAAATTTCGGTATCTGGTACATACCGTTCCAGTAGCAAAATTGATACGCATACCGGTATGGTATTGACTACTTTGATAATACCTCCAGCCATACGAAATCCCATTTTTGGGGAGGTGCTTAAGTGCAGTTGGCAAAACCAACACCTGCATAGGATTTGGTAGGTTCCCCAAGCTCTGCATGGGATTTTGGAAGATTCTACAAGCAAACAATAATCTTTTGCAATAGTTTCCAAGGTCATGGAACTTGTTTAGCTACCTTTGCATTAAATATGGCTGCAAGTTGTTGATGGTGACCAAAACAGCATCTCTGGTTAGCTTTTAACGAGATTTCAAGCCTCTGATTAGCATCAAAGGGTACTGTTTCGAGAGTCAAGTTTACTTCTGTGTCTTCACCATGTAGCCCTTTCTGGCGAAGTAAGGCAACATCGCCAGCACCAAGCTTCGCCAGTGCGAATGCCTTGCTTCGCCAGATGGGCAACGTTCACCCATCCATGCCTGCCAAGCCACTACTACCATAGTTTATCCCAAGTAATTCCCATAAGTTTGGATTCATGGGCTTGTGTTTATTTGCAATAACAGCAAGACACATGTGAATATATGTTCAAATATTTAAGCATAAGAAATATATAAATATATGCAGTGAAGAAGGAAACTCCCTTGTGTGTTGAAGGGGACTATGTGAATGAATATTCGTTGCTCTCATTTGTTTGCTGCCCATGGTTGGCACCAGTATATTATTGTTATACATAGCTGGCGTTGCGCCAGAATAAGGAACAAGTTATATGGGTGTGTACTGCGATAACGTTGTCTCAAGTCAAGCTTTGCTGGTCGGCGATACTTGCTAACACGTAAAACATAGAAAATATGTGTCATGAGTCAGGATTATCGGTGACCGGTAATTTTGTCCCTTTGTGTAGAAGAATGATAATGTGCATGACCGCCAACCATGTTATACATATTGCGGAGTTAGCCATGAATAACTTCC